TGCATAATCTGTATTTGAACACCTCATGACTTGTAAATTTTCCTCTGTTGTTAAATGTGTATGGGTTTCCATATGTCAGGGGCTAAAGAGCCTCTCTGACAAAGCTTGATTTCAATAAATCAAATAAAATGGTAAACACAATCTGCCTTTGGGGGCCTGAGGTCAATACCTCAATCTTCCTTTTTATGTCAGCCAGGTCTTCCAATATAAAATATGTGTGCACACAAATAAATCTTGGAGCTCCTTCCTCAGTCAAGCTCCAACTGCAAGTGCCTTCCTCCTTCCTTGATTCCTCTCAGCTCCTGGTCCTCAGTCAGTGGAAAGTTTTGGTCAAGGCTTTCCTCATGTGAGTAATCCTTTTTTGGAAAAAGTCCAGTTAGGTTCCTTTTGACTCCAAGGCTGATTCACCATGGAAGAATGAGCCCTGGAGATCATTATCTCCAAGGCTGGTCTGTTGGTGGATTCTTGGGAAATTTGTTTCTTTTTCAGCACAGACATTTTTGTCTGATAATTCTTTTCCTTTTCAGCTCTCGAATTTTCCCCAATGCAATGGACAACAGGGTGTTTTGTACGCCACGTCGTCTGTCGTACCTTTCTGTACCCAAGTTGCTTATTGGGGCAACATCTAGTTGTCCCAAGCAAAGTTCCAAGTCCGCGGGCAACATCTGTTTGACCCAGGACACCATATGTGGCTGTCAAATCATTACAATTTTCTTCTATGTAGTATTTATATATCTGCCTGTGTGTGGGTAGGAAGTGTATATTCCTGGAAATAGTTTTATGAAGGACAGATGAATGAGTTTGAATTTTCAAGAATTTTTGATGGTACACCAAAAATGCTGTATACCAGGCTGGTTAAAACACAATGTATCAATTTAAATAAACAGCATTCCTCTGCAACACTTTCTTAATTCCAGGCTACGTATATAAGCAACTAAAAAATTAGGAAATCAGGATTGAAATGAAAAGAGCAAAGCTCTCCATTGAATGATCTCAATATTCACCCTCCTTCTATTCTGACAAGTGAGATCCTGATGAAATAATCCAAGAATAACTTATTTCCGTGCTCCAATTGTAATCTAGCGTTGATCAACAGTTTTAATAAGATGACACCAACAAAAATGTGATATACAGTTGAGCATACTGGTGAACATTTACTTTCTATGTTTTGTGGGTAACTCATATTTCAATAACCAATAATTTTTCAGGAAAGTCCTCACTTGGGTCTTGCAAATGCTGCCAACTCCACTGCGGCTGAAGACATGGCAAAAATAATTCGGAAATGGACGAGCTTGAATGAAATTAATGCATGACAATTTGTGAAAACCTTGAAAAAGCCTGTTGCGTTCTTTGTGATATGAGAGAAATGAGGAAGAAAACACTCAAGAAGCCCTTTTTTCATGACTTCCTTACTACTGGCTGGATAATGTCACTCTTGCATTTTCCTTGGGAAAGCAAAATATCTAGTCAGTGCTCAAGCAAAGACTCTAGAATTTCCCAGGGAGATAAAGCAACGAGAATGAAAGCAGATTCTCAGATTCTCTGTTAGATAAGAGTTGAATCTTTTGGTGGAATCTGTGGTCTATCAATAATGAAAGGGATTTCCTGTCATCTTTATCAGCTTATATGATGCTTTTAGAACTCAGCTCTAAAAAATGCATTCCCACATGGGTGTGAATGTTTGTATATGCATAAAAGTGAAATAATCAGTGAAATGGATGGAGCTACCGCGATGACCACTGGAATGCATGTATTATTACATAATCTAGCAGGTGTGCCAACATGGCAGAGCGGAAGTTTGTAAGACCTTTAGTAGTGCTCTTACTGTGTGAGTGCTTTTTGTGCAAAGCGGCTTCACTGCCAATTGAAGATGAGGATAAACAGCCTTTTATTGGTTCTGGAGGTGAAGAAATTTGTGGGTTGTCTAGAAAAGGATGACTTTCGAAATTTGAGATTTTTCTTATTCTTCACATAATAGGCCTGAAGCTGATTCCACTGAGTTCTTCATCAGGACTTGTGGGGTTCCAGTGTGAGTGAAACTCACTTGATTTCAAAGAGAAAATGTGATGATCTAACATGCTTTAATTCGAAAATTGTGCAACACATGGTTTTCCTCCCCATTTTTAGGGGTTCTCTGAATAAAGGAAATCACCTCCAGAAAATTTGTTACTGGTCCATCAAATTTTGTTGTAGAGAGATTGTATATATTCAAGTTCAAAGTTTTTGATGTTTTCATTGTAACGCATTTTCTCATACACATATTGTTTAACATACTTTCAAGTTTTTTTTAAGCTGTAACAATACGTATTATATTTTTTCATATAAATGCTTGTTCTTATCTTCTATATATCCATATCTAGTGCCGGCTGGAATGGAAATTCAAAATTATGATTCTCAGAGGGAATTGGGAGTGCTGAGGAATTCAGCACATTTCTGGAATCTGGATGAAACTCCATCACCAAAACCAGAAACAGCAACTAAAAAAAAATATAAAAACAAAGCTTACACCACTACTCCAGTACCAGCAGTTGAGCCTGGGAAAGACGATAAACAAATTGTATTCATTGTGAAGCCATTTGCTTTACCATCAAATGCCTTGAAAAGTTTGGGAATGAGATCTGTCAACCTTCACAATGAAGAACGGGAAGAACCTGAACATAAGCAAGAACCTGAGGATATGGCAGGGAGATTCCGGGTTGAATCTGGCAAGGATTACATGGAAGACATAATAACACACAGCAAGAAAATGTTCAACTTTCTCCATTACACTAAAACTCCAGACACAGAAATACCAGCACAAGAAGAAAGAACATTGCCTCCTTTCTTGGCATTTGCTAGAGTGACCACAAGAACAACATCTCGTACTAGTGCTTCAACAACAAGTAGTACTAGTACATCAACAACAAGTAGTACTAGTGCATCAACAGCAAGTAGTACTAGTGCGTCAACAACAAGTACTAGTGCAACAACAAGTAGTACAAGTGCATCAACAACAGCCATTACTACTGCATCTACAACAGGGAGTACAAGTGTGTCAACAGCTGGACCAACAACTAGCACAACTTCTGAGCAGCAAGTTAATGCAGACCGTTGGTCCTCCTGGATGCCATCAAAGAAACCATCAGCATTGAGCCACCACTCCTCTTCAAAATATGTTCAAGAAACAATTGCCCCTACAACAACATCAACTGAAACTCTGAAAATGCTGACGGTTTCCCCTCTACCAACCTCTGCACACCTTGTTTCAACAACCCCTGCATTTCCTTCAACAACATCTGAAGATATTACATCACCCTCCACTACAACAACAGAACAGTCAACAACTTCAGGTAGGCTCTTTGTTCTGCTGCTCATTGTGTTATATATCTGCATGCTTGAATAGCAAATATGTTGTGCATGGTATTTCCATCCTAAGAAAAATCAGGCACTCGGTTTTGGTGGTCCCATACTTTTCAAATGAGTACCATGGTTTTTCTGGCTGAAATTCATTTCACCTCTTAGTATTCATGCAACAAGTCTTATTTATCTGTAAGGTATTTCAGTTTATATTTCATCTCTGCAACCAAAATAATAAAATAAGGTATAATAAAAGCAGTACAAATGTGTTGTATGTATAAATGTGTTGGAATTTTGGAAAAAGCGGACCTGGTTAAAACAAATATAAGATATATAAGTACATGGCAGGTTATTTTAACCCTTGGACAGCAAAGGGTTCTTTCCCATCACTGGCCAAAATCAGATTATTTTTGTATGCTGGGGCGTTTTAAGTTTTCTGAAGGTCAGAAAAGACCTTCCAGGTGGGCTGAGGCGAAGTTGGGATTAATCTGAGAAAAGCCCATTGCTTAGCATAGCATTTTTTCATTTTCCCACAAAATTTTTTTGTGCAAAAAGAAAAAACATTAGATTTTTCCCCAACTTTGTCCTCAAATCCCTGTTGTCCTTTTTTTACTTACTGCCCTGAGGTGCAACACAATTTGGTGAAAATAGTCCAACTTTGCCGCCCAAGGGTTATACAATCAGGATTGAGTGGAGATTGAGAACTCTCTTGGATTTATCATTTGCATGTGTCATTGCTATTGTCCACTTCATCAGGAAAATTTGCAAGTGGAGTGATAAGACAAGTGAAATGTTTCTGAAACAGTTAAAAGCAGTCATTTTAAATTCTTCAAGTGCAGATTCCCAGCTAGCATCCAAACAAATGAATCATTTCAATTTATTTTGAACTCATCAAGTTTTTCCTACAAACCTAACTCCCTTTATATACATGAGTGGGTTATTAGTGGAGTGTTTTGGTAAGCAAGTGACTTGCAAAACTTTCTTGACAGTCTCTATGTTCAAAATGAGTTGAATTAGTGTCTGCCATCTGAGTTGAGAATGAAAGTCAGAATGGCCCTTTTTGTAACTCATCCAAAATACTGAATTGCACTGTACATGCAATGGCTGATACTGGAATGACATTGAAGAATAATCAAAAATGTTTGCTATGATTGTTTAGCAGCAGTGTGTCATCTAAGGTAGGTATAGCAAAGGATCTTCCCATGAACATTTTTCAGGGGTGATATAGTGCTACAATTTTATGTGCATGTGTTTTTATTATTTCCAGGCACCACATGGACAACAGTGTCTACTACAACAACCACTGCTGATCCAGTGACTGGATTTGGAGGACATGGAGCATTGTTTTTCTAGGGATACAAACTAAGTCTTCTGGAATCAGAAAAAAATTGGAGGATATTTCAACCCCAGGCTCTCGTGCATTGTCTCAGGAAATTGATTTCAAAATTGTCGTGAGATATCCCAGGGGCTAAAATTGGATCTGGCGCAGAGCCTAGAAAGATTTTTTGATGCGAGGAAGAGCCAGAGACATGATTTAATTTGTCTTGAAATAATTACATTACCAATTGAACAAATTATTTCTCAGGCTATTTCTGATAAGAGTTTTTGTGTTTCCCAAGCCAGATGAAGTTTCCGAGCATAAAACTGAATTTATCTTTTGCATACAACTCAGTGTGGCGTCAGTTTTTGGCCAACAAACATGGCATCCAGCATCCTTGGTGGTTTTGTGTCATTCTTAATTGTATCATTTGTGTCCTACAATGCCAATGCAGGTAAATATGCAAAATTGCTTCCAATCAAGAAGTGTATTTTCTTCATTGCCAATTTATAATATATAGGGGTCAGCAGGTGAGTCAATAATTATCTCCAATTTTGGCATACTGCATGCTCAGGTTTGCCACTTTGGATTGAGCATTTTCAAAAGTTTGACTTGGAATTACTCAAACATACTCTCAATCCCATGGGATGAGTTTTCCCAAATATGCATTGAGAATATTTAAAAATGCATCAATCACCTCCAAAAATAAATTTTTTTGATGAGTAGCAGTATTTTTAAGAAACACATTCTATGCACAAAATTCGATAAGTCATCCTAAAAATAGTTCATGACAAAGATGCGGATAATCTTCCTCTACCCAGCACCAATGCTATCCAATCAAGAAGTACTGTACACTGTAACTTTATTCATCAGCCATAAATTCTGCACTCACCAACAGAACCATTAAAGCGGAAAATTGCAAACTATACTACTTATATTCAATCGAAAATTTAGATGTTAGGAATATTCGAACGGAAATTGATTTAGCCAGAAGAATATTTTCAGCTTTCTTTGAACAAAATTTGTTTTCAAGCATATTTGTAGGATACTTTCACTTTGTCTCAGCAGGATTGATCATTGGAATAACTTAAAAGTCGAAAGTTGTGAAATTTTGAGCATGACCATATTTTATCAAGACAAAAATTGGGGGATTTTCTGCATGCCAGAAAATGGTGCCCTTAAACAGACGTGAATAAACTGCAGGCAGAAAACGATCTTTGATGCTTTTTTCCCCAGCAGGAATGGCATTGGTGCAGGATGAAAAGCCAGAAATGAGGGATATTCAGAAGCACACAATTGTGCCTGGCAACACACATGAAATGATTTTGCACCACCTGAAGAATGTTAGACCAACGCCTGTCAGGGAACTTGGTGAGTTTTGGGTATATTTTGGCGGGAGACACAGGGTGAAGAGAAAAATCAAAATATTTCAAGAGTATAACTGGAGTTGGGCATTCAGATGAAATATGCCCTTCACTTATGAGCGTCCAACATAAATCACCCAATAGAGGAAAATCCAGCTTCTTCAGCATCATCTTCAGATTTTTTATTTAGGGATTCCAAAAGTGTACAATTGGTAATAGCTTTTTTCCTTGAATTGCTGGGTAAAAGAGTCGAGAATATGCTGAAAATGGAAGAAAAAGCAAAAATTCTAAATTATTAGTGATACATTGTACTGTGTTTACATTACAATAAGAACATAAATTCACATGTTCACTGTTTTTCTACTACTTTGGTGTCAAGAAGAGTAGTTCAAAGGCTTCCAGAGACGACTTGAGTTATAGAGGTTTAAGGGTATTATTTGTACTGTATATTAGGAAGGCTGGTCTCCGACTCTCCGTTGAATATTCTCAAGGGAACTTCAAAAGGGGGTCAGCACAAATTTGACACAGATAGCTTTTCGACTTGAATAAATCGGATTTATCAAGGTCCAATTTCTCGCACTGTATTTCCAAGGTCATTTCAAAAGAATAGATTCAAATACCTGCATCAGCATTGAACAAGAAATGTTTGAACTTTTATTGACTTTGAGTGGATTTTCTCTAAAACAATATTTCTGGACTAGGGATACGGGTTCATGCATGATCTGAATATTACTTCCTCTGAAGCTAATCTCACCATTGACTGCGTTGCAATTGATGTTTTTTGAAGGTGAGACCCTGAACATGAAAAGTGCTTCTGATGGTCAAAATGGGCATACAACTGGGATGATGCACAGCTTTCCCAAATCAGATTCAACCGCAGGAAGTTCCACAAAAGGAAGCGAATTTCCACAAGAACTCATGAACGGCAATGTTAACTTTGCACAATTCATCGATCCACAAACTAGTACAACACCTGCTCCTCAGCCAGAGAGTAAGACTACATCTTCAGATTACTCTTCAGGGAAACAACCATGTGTATATAATGCAACTTTTTTTTCTTCATGCAAGTGATTCAACCACCGGAGAAATCGTCGAGGGAAATCCTGGAGGATACATCCTCTACTTTAAATTCGAAGATAAAGGGCACTTACGAGGCGAGATTGTACCCAGAGAAGCTATTTGATTTCTCGGATGACATCAGGAGATCGTTCTCAGAGGTAAATGCTGATTTTTCAAATCTTCCTTAAGCACTGGCACCAAAATCCAATACATTCTTTTTGAGAGAATGTAGGACGCAGTCCCTTTAAGATGCAGGATGCATTTTTTGCACCAGTTACGAATTTATCTTAGCTACCATTTGAATACTTTATTGATGGAAGGGAGGCAATTATCACAAAGGAGTGACATCTAGAATGAAACATGAAAAATGCACCTCAAATACCAATGAATCTTGTGTAGATGACAGCAACACAATATTGAAATTTTTACATACAGTTGGACCACACAATATCAGATATCTCAGTGCATGACGATTTTTTCAAATCCAGGGTATATCTTGTGAGTAAAAATATAGTAATGTATATAATGAACCCTTTCTGATTTGAAGACTTCTTAAATACAAAACTCAACACACAAAAAACACAAACCAAAAATCGTTGAAAACACAAAAATATCGTCTATTATTTTTTACCTTCAATTTTCAAGTTTTCATTATACAAAAATTGCCGTCATCCGAACTTAGACCCTATCAGAGCTAATTGGCTTTTCGTGGCCCCTTGAAGTTTGACTTGGACAGGACGAACACACCTGCATCTTATCTATGCAGCAAACCTCAATTTGCATATTCTGTATACATCTATTGCAGTTCTGGTATACAGTGCACTTCAAATTTTCCTACTGCAGTTAAGATAGAAGAAGTACAGGTTGTCTCTAGGTGTCGCTGCTACTTTGGCTCACCTTGCATCATCGTCCCATTGAAGGATTTTACAATGTTCCCCGCATATATAGCCCATGCCAAAGTCTCTCTCAAACATAGACAATAAATATAATAACAACTCAAGCATGAGGAATAAATCAATGTTCATTCAATCATTTCAAAGAATGGGGTGAAACGGAGACGAAGACATGTTTCCCAAGCAGGAACTGTCTCGGACATGGAGGGGATTCCTGATAAATCCCAATTTTCATACACTTGGAGAAGCAGAGAACTCCCAGTGAGAGCCTTTGTGATCAACCTCAAAAAAGATGGGAATGAAGGAGAAAGGGGAATTCAAGATCTCGAACATCCTGTTCCAGAAGCAAATGAAAACACAAAGAACTTGAAAACTTTCCAAACGGAAAGCAGTCTCCCAACTGCTGAAGAAGACACTCAAATCAATCACACAAACATCGTTATCAAGCATGATGGGATCCCTCGACTATCATTGGAAAAAGTCAACATTGAATTTTCGATTCCGTCATTGGGCCACCACCGACAAGATCTGGGAACTACATTGTTAAGACCTATTGAAGAAAATGTACAACAGATGTCGCGCTTCTTGCGGAAGAGAAAGACTGCTACAAAACGGTTCAAGCGGGTCAAGAAATTGCGTAATCTGATCCGAGATAAACGCTCTGACGATGAGGAGGAAGACGAAGACATGCCAGCAAATTGTGAAGAAGCTTTTGATCCCTGCGCCTGTTTCCGGAAGAAACATGCGCCCAAGGATTGAACACGCTCCAGGTTTCCGAAAATGGAATGATACTTTGAACCCACATCCACATAGACAATATACGCAGTTGAATTGTGTTAAGTGAGAAATACAGTCTGAAGGTTACAACATGCACTCAAACCATGCCCTGCACAGTGATGTTATTCCATAAAAGCAAGTTCTCATAAACCGTCCACCCATTCTACATTGCAATAATTATATTTGCGGTGGGTATATAGTGCATCGCATCTGTTTTATACTCTGTTAACCAGGGCTCATCCAGAGCCATTTTCAAATTTGTGCTCATTTTTGCTCCAGCAGAAGCAACAATTTATCAGATCTTGGGTTAATTTTGTTTGCTCAAGATTCCAGGTGTCCCAAAGCTCTGTGGGATATACTCCAAGATTTGGTTATATGAATTACTGGGACAAGATTTTTTTGTGTTGAAGATTTCTTCCTGGTCCCAGCAAAAAATGATTGGTATGAAAGAGGGGATGTAAGCCTCATACATCCGTATGCATTTTGTTGTAGAGATATTCCTCCTGGTCCTATTTCTAGTGGACATTCAGTATAGGACTTTGAAATACAGTAAAACCTGATTCACTCAAATAAAGAATGCAGGTCCTCTGTCTTTCATCAAGTGTGCTCGAGCCTGCAAATGGACCTGTTTAATTTTAATTTCAGCTGTTGTATGTAGCTTATCCAATTGATTATCTGGGCTCATTATTCAAAGGACTTCGAGATTTTTGTGCTGTGAAGTATTTTGCCCAAATTTCGCTTTTCTTTGAACATTTCTCAAGGGGTATTTGTGTAGCATTTCCTATAAAGCTGTACCAAGAATTTGTTTTGCTTTGAATACATTTTTTTTTATGTCCGCTAATATTTATACAGTAGAACTTTGATACCCCCAGCCTTCCCAAGTCAAACACCTCTCTATTACATTTGTGTCAAAGTTCAAAGAGAGCCTCTGATGTATACTCACTTATAAGTTTCTTCAAATGCAGTATAAACATGCAGATGCAATAAAAGTGGAATTGATCAAGGTTGCAATGTGCTGAAAATAGTTTTAATTAGTGAAAAAAATTGGAGGAATATCAAACACGGTGATGATGGTAAAAAAAATTAACTCGGTTTACGGTAAGGAACTGTGACAAACAGTTTTGGTGAAACCCAAGACAATGGACTGACTTAGGGTCCCAGCAAGAAACGTATACCAAGAATGCCTAAAGCTGTCACTTGGACTTTATTTTTTCATCCGCCGCATGTTCTCCTTTGTTGCCCACCTGCCAAACCCTTTTTATTGCCTGGCTTTGGATTCCCTGGGCACAAAGGTTCGTGGGTGCTGTTCCAGTGAAAAGTCCACCTGCATACAGTATTTTCCATCAGTGACAGTGCTTCATTAGCAAAAGTTTATTCTCTCACTTTGGACACTTATCCTAGCATTTTAAAGCTTTCATATTGGAGAGCCTTTCACATTTTCCAGATTAAATGTTCACGAACTTCAGAACATGCGTTGAAAACAGATCATGATTCTCGCTGGATCATCTCAACGCCTCAGGAAGGACACCATCCAGGCAATGCAAAGGAGGCAATTGCTCGGAGGGATGGGTGGAATGAGCGGACAGTAGTTGGCGACCTCTATGTGAGAGGTTGAGAAGCAGATTCCTACATTTCCTCAGCCGACCGAGAGGGGTATCTCCGAATCCGAGAATCTGTACTTGCACGGAGGAGCCAGAACAAATTGCCGAGTCATATACATGTACAGTACTCACAAATCAGATCAATCAGATGAAATGAATAACAACACTACACATATTGCGGAACCCCGAAGCTTCAATTCACAGTTTCCTTTCCCTGTATCATATTTTTTAATGTTTTTGAATACAGTGGTAAAATCGACTTTTTTAATCTGAAAAATTGCTCCATCAGAAAATCAGCTCTTCTTCTGTGGGAAATATCTTCAAGATGTCTCCGGGAGTTTATTTCTCATACGGCACTTTGGTGGTTATACGTACTTTTCAATGATCATTTCCAAGTGCACTTTGAAATGAACAATAGCACAGTACACAAAACCACCATTTTAATTCCACCATGATTAAATTAATGAGCGGACAACGGTTGGCGACCTCTATGTGAGATATTGAGAAGCAGATCCTTTTATTTCCTCAGCCGAACGAGAGGAGTATCTCCTGATCCGAAAATCTGTTCATGCACGGAGGAGCCAGAACAAATTGATGAGTCATATACATGTACAGTACTCATAAATCAGATCAATCAGACAATTAATTCAGACTCATCAATTTTTTCTGGCTCCTCCGTGCAAGTACAGATTTCGGATCAGGAGATACTCCTCTTGGTCGGCTGAGGAAATAAAAGGATTTTCTTTGGAATTTTTAATTCCAAAGAAAAAGTATAGTAAGTAGGCGGCGTAATGCCTGAATGGAGAAAATGACAGTGCATATAAGAAATGTTCTATGTGAAAATAATGCGTAGTGTTCTGATAAAAATTAATCTTCAGCTTGGGCCGCCAATTTTCATCAGCAGACTAGGACACTAATAAATTATACCATTGTTTAGACAAGTTCAAAAACCTGTCAAGGTATTCATCTTATGGTTAAGGTCCACAATAGCACCAATATAATCTTTTTGTAATTTTTCACTGATGTGGTATTCTGTCCATGCACTCATGCAGGCATTTTCTGTGCTGGCGTTTTTTCAGCTTCAATACCACCATTAATTATGCCACCATTATCTCCATGTTGAAAATTAACTATTTAGAGAGCCATTTTTGGAATGAGATCCATAAAACCTTTCAAGTCAAAATGCTGTGTTTCGGTCTCAGGATGAGCAAAATGTTTGTTTTTCTTATTATTGCAGTTATTGCATTGCCACCGCACAGCTGATCACAACATCCATCTCATTCTTTCATTCCTTCCCGAAGCATCATTCGTGAAAATATTGCCAACAATGGAGAGAGATTTGTACAACAACAAAAACCAGAGTAATATCCAAGGGGTAGAACTCTGTTCATTGCTACAGCGTTCAATCATGGAGGAATGCCACCTATTCATTTTCCATTCTGTTATTCTTTGTCATGGCAGTAATTCTTTATTGTGTGAAGAAGTTCTGGTAATGACTCTATACAGATGTTCTTTGCTGCCGGAATTATTCCGGATTTAAATTCAGTTGAATCTTTCAAGCTTCCCCATTGAAGTCTGCAAGAAAATTCAATCTGGTCAACAAACCTTTGTCTGGAACCAATCAAGTTTCTTAACCAAGGGTCCACTGCACAGGCAACCAAGAAAATATCCAAAAAAAGGGGTTTCTCTTGGGAAAGAACCATACATATGGTGTATGTGTGCAAGAACAACAGTGTGTGTGTGCCCATGCATGGGAAGACTGCAAGGAAAGCAAACTCCATTAAAAAGCCATCACGCCGCGTTCGCTGCGATATCTGCAGCAAATACGGCGATAAAACGTGACAAGCACATCGGGTGCCTTCACCATGCATTCAGCCATGCCCTTATGCAGTACAGTATATATACCCATTCACTTCATATTCCTCATTCTCTTTTCCACGAATTTTCTAATATTCATGCCCTTTCCCCGCACCGCAAATGTTCGATGAAGTGATATGTAATATGCATTTGTATTCTTTTTCCCTCCTTATGTAGCAGCAGGCTACTACTACTGCATTACAATCGCAGATGGGATTTGTTTTTGCTTTGATTGAAGAACGATAAATTAATGTACCAGCAATTCAGGCACTACAGTGTTTTCAATTTCATGCAGCAATTCGAGATAATAATGGAAAATTGTTGCTTCAATTATATCTGAGATGTGCGTTAAGCTTATGGTACAAATGATGATCAATCACGCTGGATCCATTTACTTATGCCGGCTTTCTCATTTGCCTCGTCTTCAGATCCTGGTCGAACAATTCTTCAGTAACGCATTTTTCTCATTCGAACCAATGTATTGGCTGATTACGGCGAGACATTACGGAAGTGCATACCTTAAAGCTCAAAGTGCCCAATATTCAATTTTAAAATTGGTGAGCATCAATAGTGATGAATTCTAATGTTAATTAAAATTACTTCAAGGAATACACAAACGTGTAATTTCTCATGTAAATTTGATCAAATCCGTAGTTTTTTCTGGAGAATAGCATGCCACTTTTGTCATCAAAATGGAGAAATTTTTGAATTACAGTATGATTGGCAAGATTTGACTTACCCTACCATTATACATGCCCTATTCCTCTGCATTGTCTTTGAAGAAAAGGGCAAGCAATAATTACAAAAGTAGAGTACAGTAACCTATGATCTGTATGAAGTTGAGACATGAATCAATAGGGCGAAAATGCCTTCATTTATTGTTATGCTGTACAAGCTTCATTTGCCGCAAGTCAGCATTCAAAAGGTTCATTACATTTTCCCACATCCACTCGCACATTGATTCAACACATCCTGGCCCATAAAATGTTAAAATTCACCAAATGTTTTAGGTATTATCTTTCCATAAAAGGTTTACCAAAATATTTCTTACATATTGAGAAAAATGATTTTGAGCATCAAGAAAAAAGGCAATTTTTATGGCATTTCTTTTGGGGAGAAAAAAGAAGAGGAAACCAACAAGGTTTCCTTGCACATCACCTGATGAAGCATATGATTATTCCCTCAATTTTAATGTTTTTTGGGAACCATAGGACAGGACATCACCTGAAATAATATTTTGGAATTTTTTGGTCCAATCACCTAACCAGACGAGAAAATCGAAGAAACTATTTTTAATTTTGGTCTGTAAGCAGCCTGTCCTGAACTTTGGATGGACATTCTTCTGCTTTCTCTTCCTTATTCATCTGTGCAGAAATGTGTGATTTGCATTCATGTGATATGCTTTTTTATTTCAATCTATTTGTGTGAATTGATTTCCTGTGCTGCATTGAATCCCTTATTTTATTTTACTTTTCTGAAAGAACTGAATAAACATTATTTTATAACTAGGAACACATTTTCAAGGTGACCCATTTGTTCTGAACCTCAGATGGATGACTGCCTATGTTTTTCTCTTTCTTTCAATAATCCAGCTCACACAGTTGCAGGCTTCATAATTATCTGCATAAAAGGGGAAAGGGGCCC